ACCGGTTCAGTGACTCTCTATCAGGCGATTACCGGAGATTGCCTAACCACGCCGTTATCAGTGGAAGCCCTACAAAAACCAACAGGTGCTGGTTGCACGAGTGGATGCCTTCCGAAATAGAAACATCCATTCAATCGCACTTACCAAAAAACAGCGTCGGAGCCCAACAGAGAAAGTCAGCGCCAACTAGCCATACCATTTTCTTTATGATGAGGTTGTCCTCGGCACGTGATGGGGTGTTCGGATCCTTAAACAATAATATTATTTCTACCTCCTGTGACCACTTAGCTTGAGGGATTAATTTCAATATTTTAGTGGTTTCCACAAAAAGAAGGAAAATTGGACCACACCTTCAGCATGAACATTAGAAAACCGTAGCAGACTACCATGGCGATGAATGCGAATAAGTTGAACAATAGAAAGAAGATGATGTACGCCTGAAACCCTCATATTTTGAGATAAACTCCTCCCCTCTCGGAACTGTCTTGAAGAATTTCTTCGCGACACTATCGCGACTGAGCATGTTGTAAAACTCCTATCAACATTCTCCTATCAGCAATTTCGAAAAGTCGCGTAAAAGCAGTTTTTTTCGAATTCGGCGCAGTTCGGTGACGGAGGGGGAAGGGCATTTTGCATTTAACGAGCTCACAAGTGTTGACAGGTTAGCCCGACGAGCTTACTCCAGCTTCACAGTAGTTTACAGGATTCACCAGAGTGAGATATGCAAACCGGAACTAGTGAAGCAACGAAAAAGCAAAATCCCGTCGCCGAACTGCCCCTTGAATTCTTTTAGCGCCTTCCGGGTGGGGAAGAAGCATTTTTCTGCTTTCAGTTCCTTTTGTTGCAGAGCTCACCAAAGTGAGACCTGTGAATTCCTGCGAGTACGGCAGGTTGTAGGTTGGAGTCATGATCCGTCCTCAGCGAGAGGTCGTATGTGGCCGTTGGAGAAAGAGGGGTGCTTTCGAGGAAGGCATTTTCAGTTCTTGACTTCTCTAGATTTTTACTGTTTCATGTGAGCTACGCCACCCTCTCCCCTTCCCTGTACACGCTGCTAACCTAATACGGAAGAGGTATTCCTGCCAAGTGAGCATAAAATGCGTTCCAGAAACTCACCCGATCAGCAATGTTGACTAGCCTCAATGGCAAGCATATACTAGCCGTTGAATAACTTGAAAGGCCGAGTAAAGGAGATGCAGCCATCATCAATGCAAAAGCCCATCCACCAACCATCATGGCGCACGCTACTGGGAACCGTAGACGCTGTCCATAGAAAGCATTCCTGAAGTAAATTGGCAATTTCAATGAACAAAGCGCACCGAGAGAATCACTGCAACGCTCGCGCACACTCAGTCACTTTAGGCTGCGTTCATACTTTGCGGCAGCATCCAGCAATGACCAATAGCGTCCACCAGCGCTCCGAGCGTCTGACAGCGTCAGCGATAAGTAGAAGTGCAGATACCGATCTAGCGTCTGCCAGCGTCTGCCAGCGTCCACCAGCGTCCGGGAGCGGAGAGTACTGAGCTATAGAGGGGGTTAGCAGACTGCCGGTACAGAGTATGGCGCGATAGGGGGGGGGCAGCTGTCTGCTACGCTGCCTACCCACACATTCCGGGATTGATACTTGCCTGCTGTTACTGCTTTGGGAGAGTCTGGAAGAGTAAGAGGGTACCAGGATGAGTCATTAGGCAAGGCGTACCTTCCTGTTCTCCTATACTCTCTCAAAACACTAGCGGCCGGCGCCTGTCGATACCCTGTGGCTGTGTTCCCGCTAGCATCGAAGCGCTATTGTAATGGTAGCGCGTTGACGCGCGTCTGAACGCTGCCTTATACACAGCCGTAGCCGTAACACCCCTTCTCGCTGTCCGATATAGAGGGTACAATAACTAGCGATCTTCTAGCGACGCTGCACGGCAAAACTGAATCTGAGGAGCATACCTTGTATTATATGCCATTTCGAAAGCAATGAAAAACATTGAAATAATGCTCAATTCACTGGATAAAACAGCGAAAAATCCGGCCATACTGCAACCTTAAATTGGATTTTTTGACATATTTCGGTCCTAAATAAATACCACTACCAACATTAGAAGACTAACTCCATCCTGTCTGCCAACTGACCGCGTGTCTATAATATTCATCCCCAGTTCGCACATCTTGCACTGCCAAGACAGCCAAATAGACCCCTGAAATTGGTCTGTTCGCGTCTCATCTGGGTTGAGAAACAGGATCAAACGAACCCGTGATAAAATCGGCGATGGCCAGGTTGATCATGAAGAGGTAGTGCACGCGCATCCGTTTCTCGAATGCTAGGCCGAGTATGACCCATACTAGGACATTGCCAACAATCGCTGCCATACAAACGGGCCAAATTGCCTTTCGAAGTACCCACAGGCTAAAAAAAAGTCTGAAAAAATTGCTTCACTGAAACGCTTTCTCTCTAGGAAATCTCACCCAACGATGTTTTCACAGGGGTTGAAGGCGTCCGGCTGCGGTGTGCAGGTAATGTTCTGGTAAAATCCCTGTACAGTAGCCACTTCTTCGACGGCAAGACAACGCGTGGCTCCGATTTCAGACGGATCGAACGCTAAACATTGAGTAAAGATTGGCCGAGCTATCAGTACAATATTTGAGCAATTTTACATTCACAGGTAAGAAGGCTGCTACTAAAGGAACTTTTTATTTGTCAAAAGTGTCTCAAAAACTATGCCCTTGAGTATGCGAAGCGCTGGGGAAGTCCCGCCCACACCAGGCGTTCTTGATGAGAAGCGGGTCAAAACACCCGCTTGTGGCGGCGAGGCCAACCCTGAAAAAAGCAAGCTCCCGCGTGCGATGCAGTGATGGTTCATCCTCCTTACTTTGTAATCTATGCAGGGCCCGTCATGGCAGCGAGGAAGACGTACGTTCAATACGACCCCCTTCCTACGTGGTCCATTAACTGCAGAAGGTGACATGGTGGATGCCAGATCGTCTCCACTGAAGGCAGCCGAGTTCGTGGGGCACTCAACTTGGACTGCCACAGGCAGATGGCTGGTGTACTTGAAAGGGCAAAAATCAACTTTATAAATAATGGCAAACTCTGGCATCATTTTAACCTTTTCTCAACTCCTTCCCATGTGTAGTCCGTGTCCTTGTTTCGTCGACCTGCCTTACTGATGAGCTTGGGGGTTGGCGAGACAATGATGATTCGTCTAAGGGAACAAGCGAAACGGATCATCTGTGCTTTGGAGTGTTTTCCTTTTCCAATTTTTTGTTTTTTCTGCTTCTAATCGGTGGAGGCATCCAACGGTACACAGGAAGTTTGTGCAGGACACCTTATGAAGGCCTTTGAATTCCTGTGACCCATGGGATTCTTCTGCACCAGTTT